TTCTTCCCACTCTGTGCAAGGCCACCTGGGTTGGCCGGTAGACTGTTTACTTAACCTGATAGGGCGAAGGACACTGTCTCAGCTGAACTATGGACACGCACATACATACACTTACACTGATAAGCACTCATACATCCCCCCTCCACTTCCAATGCATTTGATGCTTGTTACCTCCTGGCAACCGTCTGGGCCCGCACTGGAGAGTCGGCGCAGTGGCAGGATGGCTGCTGTGTTGCCTGGGATTACTCCTCACCCCCTACCCAACCCTGTTGCTGGTCACGTGCTGTATAATGTTGTACTGTGGACATTTATGTGCTTTCTGTGCAGAGGAGTTTTTTTGTTTTTTGTTCTCATGCTGTCCTCCTATAGCCCAGCATGAGTAGAGATCTCTTTTTTTCCTCTTGTACTTTCCCATTGTAGTGTACATTTTAGTGTTTTTTTTCTGTAATGCAACCGTTCTCTGACTTGTATCCCCATGTGATGTCTGTGTAGTGTGTGTAAGGTCGGGGGCGGGTTCATTCCACTGCAGGGCAACCTGCCACTGCATGTGGCGAATAAAATTTGAACTTGAAATTGAACTGACAGTGAGCTGACAGTCACTGAACTAATAGTCTCCAGGCCCACTGACCCAGAGAAACCCATGATGGACAGGTTAGCCAAAATCTCTCTCTCACCACTTTGAGCAGGCTTAGCATTGCTAGTGAGTGGCGAAGAAACATCCTTCATTTTCTTGTTCATAGCAAATGGAGTTACAACTATGGTGGAGTCTGAGTTACTCACTGCGGCGCCTTGCACTGCTGGTCCAGAATCAGCTGATTCTTCTGAAGCCACAGGAGTGAGGTGAGATTTGGTTTGATGATGGCATGGGCACCGTTTCCTCCGAGAAGGTGGGGCCGCGTGTATGGAAACTGTCCCCTCCTGATTATCTGTATTTTTATCCTCTGTGACAGAGTCCAGTCTACTCACTGTGGTGACTAGCACTGCCGGTCATTTGTTTGCTGACTCAACAAACGTTCAAGGAGGGAGAGGAGATGGGGTAGGTTGGCAATGGCAAGGGAGCCTTCTTCCCTTCAGTGGAGAGTCCAACAAGTGAGCAGCAAGCAATGGTAGGGAAACTGTCCGCCTATGAAGAAAAAAAACAGGCAGCAAGGGCTCCCAGGGAGGCAGCTGCATCCTCCTTGCCCGTACTGCCCAAACCAAACAGCTCAAAGCTGGAGCTTGCCCTCAGCATGGTTACAATTTGAATTAGTTTTTTAATGTCCAAAAAGCTCACAGAAAAGGTAGTGGATGACAGAAAAGTATCAAAAAAACACTACCAGTATGTGACTCTGATGCTGATTTGCAGCCTGGGTTACGCTCTAGCAGTAACTCCAGAGCTGGGCGAGCAACTTCTCCTCTGAGGCGACATTTGAGTCCGCTGGACCCATTATAGCGGAATTATTCTGTCATGGTCAGCGATGGCAGACCGTGGAGTTGAGGAAAGTTGGACCCAAACGCTCTTATAGTGAAGGACAGTGGATTTATTTATAGTGAGTGGAAAAAACAACTATGTACAAATACAGCACTGTGGCTCCCGTGGCGAATCCTCTGTGAATCCCACACAGTGCACGTGTCCATAAACAGTGAAAATGTGACAACTCCAAAACCCGATTCCGCTCCGTGATTTCCCCTCATGACGACGCTTCTTGCTCCCGACTCCTGGTGACACAAAACACATACAGCTTAGCAGGAAACCCACAGTAGCGATGTCGTTCACATAAAAACTCATCAACTGAGGTACTTTACAGGTTTGCCATAGTATAATTCCACACTGACTGGAGCTCTGCCACCTTCTTAAACAGGACTCTCTTGATGAGGCCATCAGCTGCAGCTGGTGAAGGCTAACAAGCGGCAGGTGCGGCAGGTGCGGCAGCCTCCAGTGTGAGAACACTTCTGGGTTGCAGTCCTCTCAGCGACCCAAAATATCCCGGAGCTCGTATGACCACACACAGGAAGAAAGAGGAAAAAAGCAGCGAAAACCACCAAAAACACAACATACGGAAAAATAAACATATACAAAAGATACATGAGCCCTGGGTCCTTAGACCCAGGCCATGACAGGTTTATTATTTTTATTGTTTTTGGAAAATGATGATTGTTATTATGACAGTGAGTCATCTTACACTTGTCTTACGCCATCCAATAGGCAAATCACCTACACAGCTATGTGGCTGTCTGAGCTGAGAGCAAAGCACATGCTTTTGGGGATTTGGTTGTAAAGTGCACTGATTAAAAAAAACTTCTTTAAAAATTCCAGACGGTTTCCTTAATTTTTTATACACGTTGCTATTTTCATCTCGAGAGCTTTTGCTCCACTTCCTACACCAAAACTGGAAGAAGTGTTCACTTTGTGATATACTGCCTGAAAATATGTGTATTCAAAGGAAAATCTTAGATATCACATTTTGTGAACTAGAGGTTCATAAATTCTTTAGCTTATCTCTGCAGCAGAGGCGGAGGCAGACATTTGATACACCCAGGGCTTAGCCCTAAAGGGTAGTATGCATGTGGGATGGGGGCAGGGGGGGTTATAGGCTCTGTTTTGAGTTTTGTTCAAAAAAGCAGGACTTCATATAGGTTTTTAATTAAGCAGCAAGGCAGAACAAAGTCGGGGCTAAACCCCAATTCAACCAGACCCAGAACTGATCCGGAATTAAAACAGGACTACAACAGTTCAAAATCAGGACTACTTAGGACTTAACCAAAACAGAACCACAATCAGAACTAGATGATAGTAGCACTAAAACCTGCACTACACTTATTTTTTAATTCTACCGAAGTCCACTATTTAGATTCAGAAAGGTTCATATAATTATTTAGCCTTGCTGTGAAAACAAGCCTGCATAACTTAATAAATGTAGAATTTGAAAAATAACAAACCTAAAAAGAAACATTAGGTACGAGATACATGAGTACCTATGATACGGTGATACTTTTGG